GATGCTGGGGAAGGCCGTGTATGAGGTAGGCGCGTGAAGGAGCATCGAACTGGAAAGGATGAAAAAACGTGGGAAGTACCATGGGCTTTGTATGCATTTATGTGATCAGACCTAGCGTGTCAACTGCCTGTCATTAGGGAAGGACAGGAACCGTGATTACTGTACAGAGAGACTGGTACTTTCTTGTGTGGCTCACTGAGTCCTCAGCATCACTGTGGTGTGGCCGCCGCTGTCCTGTTTGTAAGGACAAGAGAACCGAGGCTCGAGGAGGCGCTTATCCAGGGTCTCATCGCTCGTTAAGGGGTAGAATGCAGATTCGCACCCAGGCCACCTGAGTCCTAAACCTGCCCTCCGCTTCGCTGAAGGGTGAGGAGTGGTGTGAACGTCCTCCCCCATTTCCTGGGCCTCGTCTCTGTTTCCTCCCTCCCCAGCAACAATAACAACATTGCAGATGAAAGAAACGGGGGCACTAGACCCCGCTGTTTGCCCTGCCCTGCCTCTGGTGGGTGCTTGTCCTCTGAGCTCCCACAACCTGCTCCCAATATGTCAGCAGGGAGGCTGCGCTGTCACCCATTTGCAGGTGGGAAACCGAGGCTCTGTGGCCGGGCAGCAGCAGAGCTGGTTTGATCCCTGAGCAGTGTGGCTCCAAAGCCTATGTCCATAACCACCATGCTGAGGTGTCCCCAGGGGGGACTTGGTTGGGTTTGTTAAGTGATGGGGAGGTAGCGTCCAGATTGAAAATTTTGCAAGTGCCCGGAGATGCTTCTGGAGCCTCTGCAGCGTGAGCTGCCCCCATGGGATTATTGGGGCGGAATCTGGACAAACAAGCTTGTCTCCTCCCCCAGGGGATCGTGGTGGACGTGCCCTTCGCCTCCTTCTTCCTGAGCCAGCTGCTCGGGCACCACCACAGTGTCTTCTATAGCTCCGTGGATGAACTGCCTTCCCTGGACTCCGAGTTCTACAAAAACCTCACCTCCATTAAGGTAGGTCAGTGTGGACAGGCGGGGGCTTAGCTGAGCGCTGGTGGAAGGCAGAAGTGAGTGAAGCCCCGCAGGGTGGGTGTGGTGGATGAGGTCCCCTGCCCCTCGTGCCCTCAGGACGCTGCCTCTCAGGACCCATGCTCAGGGCCTCCTTCCTCGAGGGGATGTGTGGCTGTCTCCTTTGCTTCCAGCTGTTCAGTGGCCACAGCAGTTGATGCCTAAGCAGACCTTGTAGGCAGGAGTGTCGGTTCTTCCAAGGACATAGCCCTGTTGGGTTCCAACGCTTTCCCTTCTCTGTCGTCTTAGCGCTACGATGGGGACATCTCAGACCTGGGCCTGACGCTGTCGTACGATGAAGACGTCATGGGTCAGGTAGGTTGACTTCTGGGGCTGAAGTCTTCTTTCTGTCCCTCTGGCTTCCTGAGGCCTGCCCTGCCCTTGATGCTTTCCCCAATGGTCCCTAAACAGAGTGTCTGTCTGTCCGGCCTCTCTTTCCTCTGGCTCCCATGCCAGTTCTCCTGTCCCACCTTGCTGGGAGGTGGGGTCTCCTCCTTCCATTACAGCTGACCTGGCCTTTGCCTGCTCGCTCTCGCTGTGCTGAGACCCCTCGCTCTGCTGAGGTTACGCTCTGGGTCATTCCTAATTGAAGTCATAGCTCCGTTTGTAACGTTGCTTTTTGTTGCCATGGTGAGGATTAGCTGTCACTCATGAGGACAGTGACTGAGAAAGGGGGAAGAAGGCTCTAAGACATGCCTCTAACAGACTCCTGTCCCCATCCCAACTCGTCACAGAGCAGAACAGGAAGAAAAAAGACCCTTGAAATCATGAGGGCAGAGCTGTTTCCTCCCCGAGTTCTTCTCAGCTTTTCTCGGAAGTGCCCCGGCCCCTCCAGTGTGTTCCGGTGACACCTGAACAAGCCCCCATGCATGTGGTCCAACGGCTGCTCTGCAGGAACCGTGCCGTGAGCTCGGGTGCGGGGCTGCCTCTGAGCCCTGCCTCTGGGGCCTCAGAGGCCGCTCGGTCTCCCCAAGCCACAAGTTCCTTTTCTCAAAGGGCCATTTGCCGAGTGTGAGCCCTCGCTGGGACCAGTGTCACCGGGTGCTCTGTAAGTGCCCATGTGCCCTACCCTCCTCCTGAAGAGCCGCCAAGCAGGCTGGCACCTGAGGGCTCAGAGAAGCCTGTGAGAAAGAATGCCAGCGCATTTGACCACAGAACGCCTCTTTCAGAGAGAGAATGCCATCTCACGAGTGACTGTCAAATCAGAGCTCACAGGCAGGGTGCTCCCTGGGACCCTTTGTGGGAAACGCCAGGCTGGGCTACTCCTAGGGCCCTTTTAGTTTGAAATTCTTTGGTGTGCCCCATGATGCACACAGCATTGGCCCTAGAGGCCACTGTTTTCCAAACTGTCCACATCTTTAGAGTTATATTAACAATTTCTATTAAAATTTGCTTGAAAACGATGCACTCTTTCATTTCTTTAGGTGACCCACTGAAGTTCTTAACGTTGAGGAAAGCAGTTGATTCTATAGTTTCCAAATCTTTCATCAGATTTTGAGGCTTCTTCCTGCATTCTTAATTCTCTCTCCTGACTATAAAAATAATGCAAACTCCTAACCAAGTATCAGCTAGAATGTGAGCATACAGGTGAAAATGAAAACCGCCTAGAGTGGTGGTGCCCAGAGATGCCACCGGTAACACGTGGCTGGCCTCCTTCCAGATCTTTCTCCCTGGCACCCACATCATCTTTTTTTTTTTTTTGCTAGAGAAAAAAAACCTTTCACATTGATCATGCAGGGTCTGCTTGCTGATGTGTAAGGCCAGGCTTTTTGTGGGAATGGTTGTTCCCAAACATGTCCCATCTTAATTGTGTCGTTATTCCGGACGTGGGTGTTGGCCCTTTTGTCTGCAGGAAGCTTTCTCCCCATTAGAATCCTCTCGAGTGATTGCTCCCCCTCTTCTCCCCCAGCTCGTTTGCCATGAACTGATTCCTGGAGGGAAGACCATTCCTGTTACAAATGAAAATAAGTGAGTATCGCAATTCAATTTTCATTCTGGCTCTCCGGGCTTACTTTGAAAATTTATTAAGATACTTTGAAGTAGAAAAGCCATAAATATTATAATGGAACTTACTGGTTAGAGTTCATAGGCCAAAATCGTATTACATTTGATGTGCAAAATAAGAATTGACACTTTATTGTTTGCAGTAGCACTTCTGAGGCCAGAGGCAGTGTTCCTAGGAATGTAATGATGGCCCTCCGTGCAGACAGATGGATTCTGGGCCCTTCGGGCATGCAGTCCGGAACCCAGAGGGCACTGAGGCACAAGGCACCTGGAGGGAAGATGGTTTAGGAATGATAGCACCTGGCGGTTGTAGAAAGCCCGGTCTTGAGAACACAGTGGCAAGTTCGGATGCAGCAGATAGGTCTTAGATATGAGGAGCTTCTGAGGCCCGGCAGCTGTCGTCACAGATAACAGGCTTTCAGGAATCTGTCATGAATGTCAACTTCTTTGGTCCCTAGAAGCCAAACCCCTCAATGCACTGTCTCCACCTGGCCTATTCTCACCGAATTAAAATAGTAGAACCTGGTGTGAGGAGTAGATATAGGCCTGTCATTCTGTCCGTCTTCTCCTGCCACCAGACTCCACTGAGCACCTGAACTATAATCTGAGTGTCACTCCCCTCAGTGACACGTGAGAGCTCGGTCCTACCTGGTGAGGCCTTTGGACCAGATGCACGTTACAGCCCAGCATCCTGAGCATCACGTCTCTGGGTTGGGAGGCCTCGGTCAGCCTCATGCTTGGGAACTTTCATTCAGAACAGACTGTTCTTGTCAGGATTGAGATGCACCAGTTTGACTTGCCTCTGGGGCGTTAGTTTGACAGCTGAGAGAGAACAGAGGCTGGCGGGGAGGAACAGGCTGGAGGCGTCAGCAAGTGGATCCTGTTCCTGCCCCTGTGTTCCCTCTTACCATCCCTGCAGAGGGCTTCCCGGGAGAGCGCGCGTATAAAAGACCTTCCAGGGTGTCTGGGTCACAGGAGGGCCTTAGTAAATGAGAGCAGTGGTTGCTACCATCATCGAATAGGTGACACGTCACACGCAGCCAGCTGCCCTCAGATTGGTGGGTTTTTGTGCCAGACATGAGGGCACAGGGGTGGTGGTAGGAGGAAGTGGCTCCGTGCAGCCTGTGTTGCGTGAGGTTCCTGCCCCGCCTGGAAACTGTGGAGAAAGTCCTTTCACACACTTTTCCACGTTCTGTGTAAACCTCAGGGTGAGAGCAGGGTTCAGTGCTGCAGGCTGCTTATCCTGCGAGGCCTGGCAGTGCCCACTTCTCCTTCAGGGGATGCTGGGCCCTGCACTTCCGAGGTGTGAAATGGGAGAGCCCCTCTATCTCTTTGGTGGAATGGACAGTATTAGTAACCGGCTTCAAAGAGTCAAGGAAAGGTCATCCTGAAGTGTATGGATGTGCAAGTTTGCTGCTGGATAATTTTTAAAGTAGGCTATTTTCAAGGTCAGTCACTCAGATCCGAGTGCTGCGGTAACATGTTTATTTGATTGGACTGATGGGGATTTTGAGAGTTTTACTTGGGCTGGGCTCAGGTTCTTTCACCCCTGAGTACCTGCTTGCTAAGAAATCAGCAAGGCTAGCAAGCCTGTTGGGATGTACTTAACCTGTTCAGTTGCAGTATATTATACGTTGTACATGCGGCCATTGTGTTCATAAAATCAGACCAAGGAGACCATCTGCTGGAGCCGTGGTTAGTGCCCTGACGTCCTAGTTGAAACTGAACATGAGCCAGCTGCATTTGGCCAGAACTTTCTGCGGCCTCTCCTTTGCATGGCCTCGTTCTTGGTCCAGATGAGCAAGGTTTTGATGGAAGTTTCAGTATGAAGCGGTTTTTCTCTGCTTTAAAGCTCAGTGGAGGACTGCATTACATCTTAATTGGTGTATGTCCAAAAGGATGAAAATAAATCCAAGACCGGAAAAATACCCTGTGTACCAAGAAGGGCCCTCTCCTTACCTGGAGATTGTCTTGCTTTGACTCTTGACACATTGGGGTGTTATCCTGATGAATGACTGGCCCACTGTTTTGTGCGGTTCTTTTTGGAGAAGTGATGAGGTCATGCCCTTGAACGTTCAATGCCTTCACAGAGGCACGGAGTGTACCGTTCAGGAGAGCCGTCGTCGTCATCTGGTGGTTCTGGTGAAATGTCCCGGTACTGTTTATGTTTCTGTAAAATGGAACAAAAATGACCTAACTCATCTTCTAGCCCATTGGAACAGCCCACTCTGTCCTGTTAATTTCCATTGTTTTCTTTTGTCGGCTACAGAATTAGCTACATCCATCTGATGGCACACTTTCGAATGCACACTCAAATCAAAAACCAGACGGCTGCCCTCATCAGCGGATTCCGTTCTATCATCAAACCCGAGTGGACCCGGATGTTCTCAACCCCTGAGCTCCAGCGTCTCATCTCCGGTGACAACGCTGAGATTGACCTGGAGGATTTAAAGTAAGGAGTGAGTGAGCTGGCGAGGGCGAAGTTCTTAGGCCTGGAAAGCAAGCAGCCCCCCGCGGGGTCCTCTTTGGAGAGTTATTTCAGGGCCCACCTCCGATGCTCTCCTCCCCGCTCACGGGGTGAACTGCTTGGAATAAAAGCCCAACCACTTGTGTGCCTCGAAACCGAAGTGAAGCAGATCTTGAGGACCGTTGGGCTCTCTGAGCTTCTCAGGACTAGTTGCAGGACCTCCTATGGGCTTCTGCTCTGGAGCTGCCAGCTCTTGAACTCTCTGCCCCGTTAGCTTCCAGGGACATGGGGTTATTAAGGCATGAACTCTGGCTTTCAGGGGACGTGGTAGTTAGTAGTGCCTGTCTAAATGCCGTGCTTACCTGTGTCTGCATGACTGAGCCGTGTCTGCATTGTTTCAGGAAGCACACAGTGTACTACGGTGGTTTTCATGGAAGTCACAGGGTCATTATCTGGCTCTGGGATATTCTGGCCTCCGACTTCACGCCCAACGAGAGAGCCATGTTTCTGAAGGTACTGTGCATGTTACCTTCGTGTGCGTGCATGCATATATAGATGTTCTAAATCTAGAAGACCAGGTGATGTAATAACTTACACTGGGGGGAAATGACGTTAACAGGAGGACCTCCTGTCATCAGCATGCCCTGTCCCATAGCGGGTCAGGTAGTAACCGGGGACGGCCTCAAGGTGAGGCGAGCCTGCGCGGACCCTCTGCAGGGACAGGCATGCTCTGCCTGTTGGGCTCCGCACTCCATCTGCCCCTTCGCTGGTGCTGGCCTTGCTCATGCCTCTCTCTTGCTTTCCTGTCGTTATAGAAGTAAGTGGTGCTGTTACCTTAAGAAAATAGAGACAATCTGCTCCTGCAGTGTAGGGTTTAAATAGTCTCCATTTCTATTCACTAGGGACTACCTCTGTGTAGCTTTTTTCTCAGTAGTATGAACACACAATACCACACATGCAATGTCCCAATACAATGCGCACCGTCAAGTAAGCGGCTATCAGTGTATATTTTGCAAAGGGAGTGGCTGGCATTCACCAGGACTCCTGTACTGGTGTCTTTAAAGTTGTAATGTTCAAAACGTGACAGTCCCACCAGGTGGGAGTTTCACTGTTCCTGAACTCTTCACACATCCTCCACCAGACTCGGCTAGTCATGTCCGCCGGCGTGGATTTCACGTTTTAGTCTGAGGCCAGCCCTTAAGAGACATATGAGATGTGTCCCAGTTCTTGGGTCGAATGTGCCCTCTGTGACCCGTCCTGCCGGCCGAACAGCAGTGACTGACCCGTCACTGGAGGAGTGAGAGACTGAGGGCCTGTTTCTGAGGGAGCGCCGGCCCCCCGTCCCCTGACCCGCCTTGTGTTGCAGTTTGTGACCAGCTGCTCCAGGCCCCCGCTCCTGGGATTCGCCTACCTCAAGCCTCCTTTCTCCATTCGCTGTGTCGAAGTGTCAGATGACCAGGTACCACGGCTGGGGAGGGTCGTGTGCTATGCCCACCACAGGGCAAGCCGCTGGGCTCCTGGGAGCCGGTCCGCTGTTCTTTTGGGAGAGCAGGCTGGCCCTGCCGCCTCAGCTCAGTTGGTCCTACTTCCTCCCTCAGGGAGGAGTAGCTGGAGGTGTTTTGAGTCGCCGCTGCTCTGCCAGGCTCCAGGTCTGAGAGGCAGTGTGGCAGAGGGTGAGGGCATGGACCTAGGGACTGAACAGGCACAGGCTTGAATGCCAACTCCTCCACCTGCTGGCGGCACAGCTGGGCAGGCTGCTCTGTGTCCTGTCTTTACAAAGAGAATGAATGCCTTAGGGGTTGTCATCCTCTGCAGGGTTGGTGCTCAGAGTAGCCCTTGTTAAGTGTCTCCCTCCCCCCACTCCTGCAGCCTGGTGGCCTGTGAGTGCCACACCTTTCAGGATGCTGCAGTCTGGGCTCCAGATCCTCCCGTGGGACACGAGCCCCCTTGCTGGAGGCGGCTGCCCCAAGATAGTCTGTTCCGGCCAAGAACTGGCCAGGTCGGGGAGGAAGCGTGAGGCTGCACGCAGAAATGTTTGGGGACCTAAAGTATTTTCACTGTATTCTGGCTCTTTGACAACTGGTTACTCAATAATTAGCGGTTCCCCAAAGGCCCCATTTCCTGGCGCTTCCTTCCCTGTGCCGCCCAAGGAGCGGGGCTGCTCTGTGCACTCGCCTCTCAAAGCTTGTCCTCAGTTTGGGGCGGGTCTTGGTGGTGGAGGGCACACTCACAGGCCCAGCCTCGCCAGGGCAGGGCAGCACACCCCGCTCAGCACCCAGCACTGGTCAGGTCCTCTCCCCGGGCCTCGCGTTCGGCACCTGCCCAAGCTCCCTCACTAGGCACCTCCAACCGAGGCTGTGCTGTGTGCTTGCAGGACACTGGGGACACCCTGGGCAGCGTCCTCCGGGGCTTCTTCACCATCCGCAAGCGGGAGCCAGGTGGCCGCCTGCCCACCTCCTCCACCTGCTTTAACCTGCTCAAGCTGCCCAACTACAGCAAGAAGAGCGTCCTGCGGGAGAAGCTGCGCTACGCCATCAGCATGAACACGGGCTTCGAGCTGTCCTAGCACCCGGTGCCGGCCGCCTGCCTCACAGACTCCTGCCTACAGGACCTCAGCTCCAGGAGGCAGCGTTCCCCGGGGCCCGGGACCGACATGCCAGGTGACTGCAGCCCTCAGACCCTCTCTATAGCCATGAGACTCCCCTGTGGCTTCAAGAACTTGGGATGCACATGCGACTCTACACATTCTCCAGGTGACACTAATGGGAAGGGGGTGTCGGAAATAAACCTCCAGATTCCGCCAGCATCGGTCGTTTCTCCGTACTCCCAGTGGCCTGAAGTCCAGGCCCATGACTGTGGAGGGGCTTATCTTTTTTCTAGTTTGCTCTTTGGTGAGTCTTTCCTTCCTTACGTCTCTGAGTTTGCTGTGCAGGCACAAGGCCCAGGCACTCCAAGCTCCAGGCTGGTTTCCGTGACCTGGGCCTGTGTGCACGAAGCCTAATATGCGTGAGACACTCCTGTTTCTGAAAACTACTCAGGTAGCCTCTATGCATCCAACAAAGGCTCTGCCTCCAGCCCATCCCCAGCAGCCTCTCCAGACTCCAGATGGCCAAGACCACCTGCTCCCCAGGGAGGCAGAGGTGCTGCTGGAAGGTTATGAGCACACGAAGTTTGGGCGCTGCTCTCATTGGCCTCAGATGCTCCAAGTCCTCAGCAGGCCAGCTGCTAGGGCGCCTCCACTGGCTTGTTCCAGAAAGTACATTCACACTGCATCCTGGGTTTGCCAGAAAACGCCAGTTGGCCCTACGAGCAGCTCCGTTTCTAGAAGGTGCGCTGTCACCCAAAGCCTCCTGGTTCCTGGGAGCAGCTGCCTTCCTCCTGCTTGTTTGCCCGCCTGTTAAGCAGGGGGAAACAAATCTTAGCCAAGGTCCTGCTCTTCTGGGCACGGCTTTACTCAGATCGTAAAATCCAAGAAACTTGGGTCTCGCCCCCGTCCGTCCTCAGCACAGGGAACCCTGGAGACCTCTGTACTCTCAGCTCATGAAATTCACGGCCCCCTGGGTTGGTTTTCTTTGTTGTTGTTTTACTGTTTTCTCTGTCCACCCATTGTGCTCCTCTGTCCTCATTCTTCACCTTTATCATGAGAACTTGACTCTAGATCCAGGGAATTGAGGCAAAGGCCGTGTCAGTGGTCTATGTTGACAACCATCCCCCCTCGCCCCCCTCATCACACCCCTTCAGTCTCCCCACCACAGAGACTGAGCCAGAATAGAAGCCAGGAGTGCCTGGTCCCTCGTCTGCTCTATGGAGTGGCTTGGGCTTGTACTCCCTTCCAAGCAGCAAGCACCTTCCAGCAAGAACCTTGAGGTTGGTGGCAACGTGGACGAGACCTGACTCCATGGCTTCTATGGAGACGGGTGCCGGGTCCCGTCAGCGTCCAGGCCTGGCTGTGCCGAGCCCCTGGAGGCCAGTGTGTGTGTTTACTTTGATGGAAAGACAGCAAGGAATTTACAGACAGGAATTCAGCATTTAAGATTTGTTAGTAACCCCCGAGTCTATGGATTTGCCATTTAAATGCTCCATTCCTCCGGAGATCTCTCCTGAGCGTGTGTACACTGAGCGGGTTTGCGCATTATGCTGCGGCCCACATAACTGTCAACCTGCGCAAAGAAATGGGACCCCATCTTGGTTTTCATCACCTGAGGATCACCCTGTGTGGGACTGGGCGCGGGTAGTAGTTCCTAAGCATCAACTCTGGGTCTCTCTTGCCGAGGAGGGGTAGCTTGTCATTTCATATCACTCTTCAGCAGCTGGAAATATTGCACTACCTAAAACACTGACTCTGCTTTCATAGCTGGTGTGCAGCCGCACCTGGATGGCTCTTGACGGCTCTAAAACGCTGTGGATTTTTAAAATATAGATAAATAAATAAGTGATAAAATAAAATGGTGTGGGTTATTTTGTTTTCACAGATAACTTATAGATTAAAACGTGATCAATGGCTTTATTAAACTTCAGCCATGATGGCTGTTCCGCTTTATCTGAAGGAGCGCTTTCCGACCCCGTGCCTGGGAAGCTCAAGGTGGGGCTGCTGGGGCAGAAGCACACGGGCTCTCACAGCGGCAGGAAGACACAACAATAACATAAGAGGCCTCCGATTCTCCTCCTACCCAGAGTTCAGAACAGCGGACAATTTTTCATTAAAGCTAATGTCACCTTCTGTACCACCGGTGGCCCTGTTCCTCTCACCCACTTCCCAGAGGAGCCATCACCCCACATGGCATGTCTTGCACAGTCATGTGTGAGAGAGACACGCTCGTAGAGAAGAACCCGGGCAACTCAAACGTGTGTGAGGTGAAGTTCTGCAGCTGCAGCTAAACATGCTCGGCTCTTCCCCTTAGTGAGCATCAGACTGCAGGACACAGCCTTGCCTCGTTCTGTTCAACAAATGCAGCTTGGCGCTCCGCAGAAAACCCATCTCCAACCCGCCCGTTTTTCCAATTCCACCTCGTGTAGCTCCCCCCGCCCCCCTCCGTGAGTCTTGTTCTAGTGCCAGTACCAGGCTGTTTTGATTACGGTGGCTTTGTAGTATAACTTGATATCTGAGATTGTGATTCCTCCAAGTTACACTACAAAGCCACTGTAATCAAAACAGCCTGGTACTGGCACTAGAACAGACATACAGATCAATGGAACAGAAGAGAACCCAGAAATCGGCCCAAGCCATTAAGCTCAATTAATGTTTGACAAAGGAGGCAAGAGCATGCAATGGAGTCAAGAGAGTTTCTTCAATAAATGGTGTTGGGAAAATTGGACAGATACTTGCAAAAAAATGAAACTAGACCACCAACTTACACCATACATAAGAATAAACTCAAAATGGATAAAAGACTTAAATCTAAGTCATGAAACCATAAAAATCCTAGAAGAAACCATAGGCAGCAAAATCTTAGATATCTCTCGTAGCAATAACT